ACACCTCGAGCCCGAGCTTTACGCTGGGGGGGGAGGCGCAACAACAATTCCAATGACGCACGCGCCGCCTACGGGAGCCCATCGGCACGCCACGCGGACGAACCACTGGGCCGTCAGACAGAGAGACGAACAAAATCGCGCGCTGACGGGCTCCCAGGGAGGCGGCGTTTCACGAGTTCCCCTCCCGTCTACCGCGAGCGGCGAACGCACCCATAACTGGCCCACGCCCTCGCAGTCTGGAATTCAGGGGCACGACGGAGGCGACGTTGCGGGCGCTGGCCACCCAGAGAGGCCCCGCCCCACGAGTTCCCCCTCCCGTTTGCCGCGAGCGGCGACCGCGCCCATAACTGAGCCACGCCCTCGCAGTCTGAGGTCTGGAATGCAAGGGCACGACGGAGGCGACGCTGCGGGCGCTGGCCTCCCAGAGAAGCCCCGTCTCGAAACATCTCCCCCCGTTTGCCGCGAGCGGCGACCGCGCCCGTGACTGATCCGCCCCTTCGCAGTCTGAGGACTGGAATGCCAGGGCACGACGGAGGCGACGCTGCGGGCGCTGGCCCCCCAGAGAGGCCCCGCCTCAAAACATCTACTCCCGTTTACCGCGAGCGGCGGCCGCGCCCATAAGTGATCCGCGCCCTCGCAGTCTGAGGTCTGGAATGCCAGGGCACGACGGAGGCGACGCTGCGGGCGCTGGCCTCCCAGAGAAGCCCCGTCTCACGAGTTCCCCTCCCGTTTGCCGCGAGCGGCGACCGCGTCCGTGGCTGATACGCGCCCGCGCAGTCTGAGGACTGGGATGCCAGGGCACGACGGAGGCGACGCTGCGGGCGCTGGCCCCCCAGAGAGGCCCCGTCTCACGAGTTCCCCTCCCGTATGCCGCGAGCGGCGACCGCGCCCGTGACTGATCCGCCCCTTCGCAGTCTGAGGTCTGGAATGCCAGGGCACGACGGAGGCGACGCTGCGGGCGCTGGCCTCCCAGAGAGGCCCCGCCTCAAAACATCTACTCCCGTTTACCGCGAGCGGCGGCCGCGCCCATAAGTGATCCGCGCCCTCGCAGTCTGAGGTCTGGAATGCCAGGGCACGACGGAGGCGACGCTGCGGGCGCTGGCCTCCCAGAGAAGCCCCGTCTCACGAGTTCCCCTCCCGTTTGCCGCGAGCGGCGACCGCGTCCGTGGCTGATACGCGCCCGCGCAGTCTGAGGACTGGGATGCCAGGGCACGACGGAGGCGACGCTGCGGGCGCTGGCCCCCCAGAGAG